TTCATTCAGCCCCATTGATATCCAGACTCACGCGCACTCCGATTCACGACCCATGCTCGGACACAACCGCGCCCAGTTTCATTCGCATTCGGGCCCGCCCGCACTCGGGCCCATTGGCATCGAGGCTGAACGCGCTCATTCCACTAACGCTTACACACAATACGCATCAGTGGGGCACTCAATACACCTGCCCGTTCCCAGCTTGCTTGTGGGGGGGGCATGGCACCCATGGCCTTTTTTGTTTTGGACTCCTATGATTATCGCGGTGTAGCAAGCGCGTCAACAGGGTACTTCGAAGGGGGGCCGCTAGAGAACGCTCAGTCGCAACAGGCTTCTTCGCTCCCGCTCAAACAATTCAAACGCTCGCAGCGGGACGTGCCCAGAAAAGATCTGCGCGCGTGGGGATATGGTTGGTTGGTTGGTTGGTTGGTCTGGTCGGCCCTGCGCCCCCCGGGCTGCTCGGCCAGTCGGCGCGGGGCCGATTTGCAACGGGGGTTGGATTCCAGCAGGGCCCTGCGGCCCCCGAGTCTCGCGCAGCCCATGGCGGTGATATGGGCCATCTGGATCGCGCGCCCCTTGCGGCTTGCGCACTCCATCGGGCCCATGCGGAATATTATGTTCCCGTGGGCCGGACAACTTGCCGTCCGCGCGCAGGCGTCGCCCACGTCGCTGCGCCCCCCGCGATTTGCAGGAACAGCGGCGACAAGGGCGTCACCAGCGCGCGAGCAGCGGTTCTTTGTTTTTTTTGTGTACGGCGCAATGCGTTACATTCGCGCAAAACTATGGTTTTGCCAAGGCTTCCAGCATTTGCGCGGAAGTCCAACCGGAATAGTCGTGCTTGCCGTTTTCGAGGTTGTCATCTGACGCATTCTGCAGACCAAAAAGCAATTCGTGGTTTGTCCTTGGTGCGTAGCTTTTCTTTCTCATTATCGCGTGTTCCTACCGCGCTCTTCAGTTGATGAGGACCGCGTTTCATGGGGGCAACCGTGGGGGAGGCTTGTCCAGGCGCTGGCGGGTCCAGGCGGGTTGTTCGGATCCCCGCGGGGATGTCCGTTGCCTGGCCGAGGCGCTTTGGGTTCCGTTGCGACGTGACCTGGCCCAGTCTGCCTCCGACTGTCTCTCCGACCGTTTGGGCCTGGCAACGGGCGGGGGAAGCGGGAACAATCTGATGGGACAAATTGTTTGTTTGCGCGGCCTCCTCATTCCACACCCTCCTGATTCTTCAGCTTCTTCCCCCTGCTCAATCCTCATCCTCCTCGCGCCCATCCCCCCGTCATCGGCCTCCTCCTGATTCCACTGCCTCGCTCTCGTCCCTTAGTCCCCGCTTCATCCCTTAGCGGAGATGCCACGTACGAAGCGGTCTGGCCTGTTGCGCTTGGGACGCCCTCGGAACCGGGCTCCGATCGCCAGCCGGCGCGATCCGAGGGATGCCAGCCCATGTTCAGGGGAATCATCGACGGGGCCGTGGCCGATACGAATCGGTTTCTTGCGGATGAACGGCTAGGTGCGAGCATTTTCGGATGGACCGTGGCTCCCTGGATGAAAGCATATTCGTGAGAGTGTCTGGCATGTGCGGGTAATTGCGGAGGGCGCGTGGCCTCCTCATTGCCCCGCGCAGTGGCTCATAATAGGCGGACGCCGCGTTGCGAGGCTTGCGCGTCAAGATGTTGACAATTTGAGGGGCCCGCGAGCCCAATAAGGAATTCAAGTCAACAAATCAGTTGTCAGACTTCTTTCCTGATGCGGCTCTCTTCTCGTTAGAGTTTTCTCCTGGGTCAGGAGCCGCATGGTGGCGTATGAGGGGCTCTTGGTTTAAGCCTCCGCCTGACAAAAGCGTTACCTCTCGAAGGGCCGCGCATGACAAACAAAGTTGTCAGACTTCTTTGGAGACGCCTGCATTTGTGAGGATGTCTGAGCCCAGCTCTTGAAGGCACGTCGGCTTCGGTAGCTAAGTGAACATGTTATGTTTCTGTTTCTACGGATGTCTGCAGCGAAACGCCCCGCCAAACCAAATTCGCAACCCAACGCCCGAGCTCGACAGCTCAATGTTTGAGGATGCCTCAAGCGAAAGCCTCTCTTCTTGAAGAAAAGCGCCGTATCGCCATGTTGTGAGGATGCCTCAGGGGAAATGCTTCCCTAAACCATGTAGGATATCCGACGCCCGATCTCCAATATTACATGTTCTGAGGATTACTGAGGCGAAAACTACATTCTCAGAATCAACATCGTAAGAAGATTCCTTTAACCTCGTCCGGCGCGCGATCTCCAACTTTTCATAGGATGTCTCAGGCGACAGTTGTCTTTTGGGGAACCAACGTCGTAAAACCACTCCCCAAACATCCACATGTTGTGAGGATGTCTGAGGCGAAACGCTTCTACACACCATGTTGGATATCCGACGCCTGATCTCCAACATCTAATTTCCCGAGAATGTTTCAGTCGAAGCCTTCAATTTGGAGCACCAGCGTCGTAAAATAACTTCTCCAACATCCCCATGTTGTGAGCATGTCTCAAGCGAAACGCTTCCCCGCGCGCGCCATGTTTGATATCTGACGCCCGACCTCTAGTATATTATTTCTCTGAGGATGTCTCAGGCGAAAGCTTCCTTCTGAGAACCAACGACGAAACGCAACTCCTCCAACAATGCCATTGTGTGAGGATGTCTCAGGCCTAACGCTTCCCCACACCATGTTGGATATTCGACGCCCCATCTCTAACATTTATGATCTCTGAGGATGCCTCAGGCGAATGCTTTTTTTTGTGAACCAACGTCGTAACACAGCTCTTCCAACATCTCCATTTTGTGAGGATGTCTCAGGCGAAACGCGTCTCCAAACCATGTTGAATATCCGACACCCGATCTCCAACCTCTTATTTTTCGAGCATGTTTCAGTCGAAAGCTTGATCTTGGAGCGAGCATCAACGTCGTAAACTGACTTCCCCAATCTTTCGGCCCCCTCGGGCCCTTCCGTCGCGCGCCGGCTACGTGCAGGAGTTATTGTTCTGACGATAACCTGAGGATAAATAAAACAACGCCCAAGCTCCAACATGTCATTGTTCAGATGATGTGTCAGGCGAAAGCCTTGTTACTGAGAGCAAACGTCGTAACATCATTCCTCCAACATCCCCTCTTTATCAGGATGTCTCAGGCGAAACGCTTCCGCACTCTATGTTGGATATCCGGCGCCCGATCTTCAACATCTCTTTTCTTTGACGATGTCTCAGGCGAAGATTTGTTTCTCGTGTGTGGGAAACAACGTCTTAAGCAACTCGTCCGTCAACGCCATTTTGTGAAGATGTCTCAGACGGAACGTTTTTCCACACCATGTTGGATATCCGACGCCCGATCTCCAACATTTCATTTGTCTGAGGATGTCTCAGGCGGAAGCTTCAATTTTGGCATCAACGTCAGAAGACATTTCCTCCCTCGTCCCCATTTCGTGAGGATTTCTCAGGCGAAACTTTTCCCCATACCATGTTGGAGATCCGACGGCCGATATCCGACATATCATTTTTCTAAATATGTCTCACGCGACAGTTTTCTTTCTGTCAGACCACCGCCGTAAACTACATCCTCAGTTTATTGTGAGGATGGTCTTGCTGGGGTCGCCCCCGGTGCCGGGGGCAGGTGCGGACCAAGAGGCGGGTGAGGAAAAGAATTGGAGGAGGAGGAGGAGAAGGAGGAGGAGGAGGAGAGGAGGGGGAGGAGGGGGAGGAGGAGGAGGAGGAGAAGAGGAGGAGGGAGGAGGAGAAGGGGAGGGGGGAGGGAGGAGGAGGGGGAGGAGGAGGAGGAGGAGGAGGAGGAGGAGGAGGAGGAGGAGGAGGAGGGGGGGACGGGGGTGGAAGAGCAGCAGCAGCGGAGGAGTATAGGGCACAGGCAGGAGGAAGGCGCAGCAGGAAGAAGGAGCGGGCGCACGAGCAGCAACGCGAGGAGGCAGGACGCGCGGGGAGGCAGGCCACAGGCGCTTGCGCCGAACGCGATGCCACCTGCCGCGGCGGGCTGCCGGCCGCGCGGCCCCCATGCCTTGCCGCCCGCGCGCCCAGGCCGCGGCGCAGCCCGGCGCTGCGGGCGCCGCCGACGAGGAGCTGCCCCTGCTGGCGCAGTCGCGCGAGGAGGGTGTCCTGCCCAGCGCGGTGGCGGCCGCGCCGCGCCCCGCGGGCGGGCGCGCCGGGCCGTCAGCGGCCAGGGCGCTGCTCGTGGCGGGCGCGGTGGTCGCGGCCTCGCTGGCCGGCTGGGGGACCCGCGGCCGCGACCCCTTCCTGCGCCCGGGCCTCGGCCTCGACCGGTCCTCCGGGCTCGCGGCCAGCGCCGTGCGGCCCTCGGCGGCGGGCACGCAGGGGGGGTCCGGCGGCGCCTTGCCCGAGGGCGCGGCGCGCGCGGCGGGTTGGGAGCCAAGGCGCGCGGGTGAGCAGGGCGTCCAGCCTGCGAGGCTGATCGATCTGAGTGCCTCTCCTGAGATATTGAGTTTGGTCGGCAGGGTATCTGGCCTGCACGATAGCCTCAACAAGCTCTTGCAGACGGTGGTTGCGATGGAGCTCGTCTACGAGGACCTGGACGCCTCAAACAGCTTGGCCAGCGCAACTGTCAGCGAGGCCAGTGGCAGCGAGGCCATCGCAACGGGAAGCATGGTCAACGCTACAGACAACTTGGCCAACGCCAGTGGCAGCGAGGCCGACGCCGCAGACAGCGTGCCCAACGCCAGCTCGGCAAATGCCAGGGGCAGCGAGGCCACCGCGAGCCCTGAGGCTGATGCAACGGATAGCGATGCCAGTGGAAGCGAGTCCAGCGACACGGGCACCGAGACAAATACCATTGGCAGCGAGGCCACCGCCACGGTCAGCGTGGTCAGCTCTACACACAGCCTGGCCAATGCCGCGGACGGTGAGGCCAACGCCACTGGCAGCGAGGCCAGTGGTGGTCAGGTCAGCAGCGTGAACAGCAAGGCCAGTAGCAGCGAGGCCGATGCCGCAGGCAACATGCGCAACTCCACGCCCGGCCCGTCACCCAGCCCGACGCCCAGCCCCACGCCTAGCCCGACGCCCAGCCCCACGCCTAGCCCGACGCCTCGCCCGTCGTCCAGCCCGACGCCCAGCCCGACAGCCAGCCCGACGCTCAGCCCGACGCCGAGTCCCACGCCCAGCCCGACGCCCAGCCCCGCCAATGCCACTGGCAGCGAGGCCAACGCGAGCCCTGAGGCCGACGCCACGGGTAGCGATGCCAGTGGAAGCGAGTCCAGCGACACGGACACCAAGACAAACATCATTGGCAGCGAGGCCAACGCCACGGTCAGCGTGGTCAGTTCCACAGACAGCTTGGCCAACGCCGCTGGCGGTGAGGTCAGTGGAAGCGAGGCCAGCAGCATGGGCAGCAAGGTGAGGACCATGTGGCAGCGAGGCCACTGGCAGCGAGGCCAGTGGCAGCCAGGCCAGTGGCAGACGGACAGCGAGGCCAGTGGCAGCGAGGCCAACGCCACGGGTAGCGAGGTCAAGGCCGCAGGCGCCGAGCTCAGCGGCACGGGCATCGTCGTTAACGATACTGGCAGCGCTGTCAATGTCATTGGCGGGACCGAATGGCGATGGCAGTGGCGCAATCTAATATCTGGTGGTGCTGACAATGGCACAGGCAACGCTGCAAGCCGCATGGGCAATTTGGCCAATGCCATTGGCGGAGTGGCCCAACTTAGTGGCGGTGCGGCTAAAGCCACTGGCTCCAGCCAGTGACTCGGTCTTGACGCAGTCAGCGCGAGCAGTAAGGCGAACTGTCCTGGTCGAACCCCCTGACACGCCAGTCTAGCGCCGCCGGTTCCAGGTTCTTTGTTGTCCCCAGTGCATCGAATTCACTTGCACTTGCAGGTAATGTGGGCTGGTGATCTGGAAGCTCCCAGTCGAGCCCAGCAGCTCTTTGGGGCGGTGTCTGGGGCGTCCTGGGTTCACAATTGCCTTGTCGCCCTCGTCTAATCATGTTGTGCTGCTGCGCATATCCGCCACCATGGTTTGGGACGCTGCGCTGCAATGCTGCTGCGTGGCGCTGCTGTGGACTTGCATTGGTGTTGCATTTTTTCATGGGGCTTGTCCTGTCTGGAGTCATTGACCCGTGGAGGATCTGGCTGCCCTTAGGTCGTCGCGGGAGCTTCCTTGGGGGGCTCTGGTTGAATCCAGCTAGGGCGGCCTGGGAGGTGTCTGGAGTGCTGATCGGGCGCCATTCTGGACCACAAGAAGTAAACGAGTTCATGTAGCCTTCGGCCTCCAAGGTGCTCATTGGGGGGCTTCGTTGGGGCTTCTGTGGGTCCTCTTGAATTCATATTGGCGTTCCCAGGAATTCCTGGGGGAAAACTGAGGCCGAAAGGTTGGTCCGGGTACACTTGGGTTGGGCTCGGGCCCCACTTGGGTTGGGCTCGGGCCCCACTTGGATTTGAATGAGATGCGCGCACCATATTTGTCAACGCAGCCTCCGTGCACATTACATTATCATACGCAGCACGTCGTGCAATCGTGCACGGTCGCATGTATTCATGCGCATACCGAGCCCTTGGGCCGGACCCTGGACATTTCCTAATGAGATTTACGAAACCCGCCGGCGCGAGACCATGAATTTCTTAACCCATGATTTCTTAACCATTTCGCTGGGTGTAATGGCCTGCGGCTGCGTCAATCCCGACGTGGCCCACGCAGCAGTGATACATGTCTTGGCATACCTTTGCTTGGAAACGATCAGGGCGTTTTTCACATGCGTTTTGTTGTGTGTTTCAATGCCGTGCCTTTTCCGTTAACGAGGAAAATCAATGTCATTATTTTGTTAAGGTTTGTTTTTTTTTCTAATGGAATTTGTTTTTTCAGTGTTCAGCGAACCGTGCCTTTTTCCTTGCCTTCCCACGCTGTGCGTTCTTGTTCCTAGTGCGATTCCATTACGTAGCCAGCTCGCGACTTCCCGTCCCCCGAGATCCCCTTGGAGCCGAATTTTTGCCCCATCCAGTATTGGTCGTTTTCAATTTCCGTGTTTGCCCTGTGTCCATTCCGCGATTGCGCCGTTTTTCTTCCAGCCTTCTGTGTTCATGTTTGGCCATTCCGTTGCTCGAAGAGCAGGAGCTGGAAACGGAGTAAAGATAGAAGAGTCATGTTCAAAGACAGTTGTGTAAGCTTTACGGTATACATGATCCAGGGTCTTGGCCCTCTTCATTTTGATGGGTTCGCCCTCCCCTCTACCACCCGACCCACCCACCCGCCCACCCGCCGATTTGTCCACCCCCGTAGGTCACTGCTCAAAGAGAAGGAGTAGGTGTGGGGAGGGGGTGTACTTGATGTTGGACAGTACGGTCTGATGGATGCATTTCGTAACGTGAGCGACCGAGGCGTGGGGATTGGGGGGGTGTCGTTGAAGGTGGACGGGTTGCCCCACTGGAAGGGGACGTCGTAAGGTGTCCCCCTTCTGATCTTCATATGTGGAGGGCATCGGCAGAGGATAACCAGAGGAGGGCGAGTTGAGGCAACGGCAATTTAGGATGCAGCTCCTGGACGGTTAAATTTAGAACCGGCTCTGGAGTGGCATTGGTCGAAGATTGGCCGAACCTGGCTTAAATCTGACTTGAGTCCCGCTTGCTCCTGCGCAGTCCCCCTCAATTCGGTTTCGTCTGGGGCTTAATCCAGCCTAAATTGGCTCAGTGGCCCCTTAAAACGGGCTTCATGAATAGCCTTTGATTGTCCTAACGAAGACTTCTCGTGAAATGCCTCCTAAGGTAGCTGGCCTTTGGAATGCCCCTTCGTCGCCACGGTTGGAAGCAGTTCGGATAATTGATGCGGGGACCGATCTGGAGTTGCCGTTGCCTCAATTCGCTCTGCTCCGAGATACATAATTTGCAAGGTTATGGATTTTGTGACAGCGCTTTGGGCGGGCCCAATCCTGGGGGCAATCCTGGGGGCATTGGCCCTCTTGGCCAGGGGTTTCTTGATCCCTCCCGCCAAACACTTCTGTGTGACGAGGGCTTGTTGTGCATGATGGGATGAGACAGCACAACGACTGATATGCAATGGCATGGAATCTGAAGTACTGGACGCGCAGAGAAACGCGCTGCAAGCGCGGTACGGGATTAAGCACACACGCGCTCGGCATGTCAAATATAGCCCCTGGCTGGTGGCCACCTCGCCGAGTCGATCGATTCATTATGCCTGGCCAGGAGCACGCGCCAGGGCCTGGCCTGGCATTGTACTCAGCATGGGCCTCGACTGGACTGGTGCCGGTGACCTGGCGCCTGTCGAGGCGGCGTGGTCGCAGAGTCCGCCTCAGAAGAAGTAGCAGTAGCAGCTACAGCTCAGTTATGCAGCAGGCAGTTTGTTGACTAAGGCATCACTGACCCCGTCAAACATTCGTCATGCTGTCTGTATCACTTGGCGCTGGCACAAGTCAAGCGTCTTATCGAGACACATTTGTATATTGGGTCAGCGTTGAATGTTCAAGGTGAGGTCGTGTGCCAGTATCCATCGATCGTCGAAAGTAGGCACTCCTTGGATTCCCATATCCCGAAATAATTTGGGCGTGTTCCTACTTCAAATGTCGAATCGTGTTCCCTTTTCCTCTCCTCTCAGGGGGCGGGTGGAGATCCAGTATGCTTCCACCAGCTGTCTACTTCATGTTTCCACCCACTTCTTCCGAGCGATGGGTACGGAGGGCAGTCACCTGTCACCCTTCTGTTCACAGTCACAATTGTGTTCAGGCTTGAAACCCAACGGCGTCGACCCACGATCCACGACAGGACACCGGGGCAGCAGCAGCGAAGGCCGTTGAAGACGCGCAAAAAAACATCCGTTGTAAATAGCTGTCCAGTTGGTGCACTCTCCTGCGTTTTCCTGTGTCGCTCAAGCCCGGCATTCGTCGAGTCCTGGGCGCTTGATCCAGGAACGAGACTGATCCTCCTCGGCAAACGACTTGTCCCCTGTGATTGGAGCCTTACTTGCTGTCATGTTACCATCTTGTTTTTTCCCAACCCTCCCTTGGTTGGGTTCTCGTTTCGAATGCAGCAGTGGGATCGCAGTCTCCCTTTTCCTTCTCCTAATCCTCCCGCCATCTGTCCCCCTCTCGCTTGCCTGCGCCTGTCTGCACCTGTCTGCTGGGTGCTCCAGCTCTGTCACTTTCGAGGGCTGCTGTGGGGGAGCCAGCACACTGGGGTCCCTGCAGACCCAGACGGGACGAGCATTGCTGGGGTGGCCAGCACAGTTGGGTCCCACGCAGACCCAAACGGGACCTCGCCATCCTTGGGGGCTGCGAAGTGTGAAATTGTCGCCATTTTCGAGGGCTGCGGTGGGAACCAGTGCAGTGAGGTCCCACGCAAATCCAAGCGGGACCTCGCCGTCCTTGGGGGGCTGCGAAGTGTGGATTGTCGCCCCTTTCGAGGGTTGTTGGGGGAGCCAGCACAGTGGGGTCCCACGCAGACCCAAACGGGACCTCGCCATCCTTGGGGCGCTGCGAAGTGTGAAATTGTGGCCACTTTCGAGGGCTGCTGGGGGAGCCAGCACAGTGGGGCCCCACGCAGACCCAAACGGGACCTCGCCATCCTTGCGGGGCTGCGAAGTGTGAAATTGTCGCCATTTTCGAGGGCTGCTGGGGGAGCCAGCACAGTGGGGTCCCACGCAGACCCAACCCAAACAGGACCTCGCCATCTCTGGGGCGCTGTGACGTGTGAAACTGTCTCTACTTGCGAGGGCTGCTAGGGGAGCCAGCGCAGTGGGGTCCCACGCAAACCCAAACGGGACCTTGCCATCCCTGGGGCGCTGCGAAGTGCGAAATTGTCGCCACTTTCGAGGGCTGCCCACGCTGATCCCACGCAGACCTCGCCATCCCTGGGTGGGCCGCGAAGTATGAAATGGGTTTCGTGTTTGCGGGTTGCTGGGGGGCCAGGCCAGCACAGTGGGGTCCCACGCAGATCCTAAACATACTTCGTCATCATCTCGCTGCTTCTGCCGAGGCGATTACTCTTCCGCCCCGGTGGTTTCTGCTTGCTTCTCCTTTCCAGTGCAGTGCCTCCTGGCTTTTCGCACCTCTGTTCGGCGAGTCGGCCACGCACACTTTGCACGACGTATATTTCCGCCGTGCACCGTCCAGCAGTGCGACTATCACCAGAAGCAGCACGAGTCTTCATCAGGCCGCCCCTCGCAGGGGGAAAGACCTGCCTCGGGCAGCGCCATTCCCCCACAGGGCCCATCCTGCCGACGCCACCGGTCTGACGCAGCTCGCGCGAGCACTCGAGCTCGTCCAGTCCACCTCGGACCACCTGCCCCCCGCCAGGGGCGCCCGCAGCTAAACTTCTCCCCGAGGCCCGCGCGCCGCCCGGCAAGCGCCCGCGGCGTTCTCCCCCCGCCGCGGGTCCTGCATGGGCGTTGGAAGGATGCCGCCGCTGCCAGCGAGATGCCGCCATGCCAACGACTGTGCAGGCTTCGCTTTACCTTGCAGGCCGGATTCGGACGTATGCGAGGCAGCGTCACAGTACACCGCTTGCTCTCCCACCGCCCTCCCACCGCCGACGGAACACCGACGGGACACCAACGGGACACCACATGACACTACGGCGGGACACTTTGGGCCACCGCGCGCCCACCGGGGGCGGAGTGGCGGTCCATTGCATCCGAATCGCCCAAGCGACGGTGGGGTCATTCTTCCCGCGCGGCCACGCAGCTTCGCCTCGCCCGCACGCACGACACGAACACGAAAGCGAAACTCATTTCCCAGTGGGGGGCTCTCCGTTCCACTGCGATCTCACCCTCCAACCTCCGACCTTACATTTCTGTTGTGTTCGGGCCCAGCCTTGTGAGAGGGGGCGACGGTTTAAGCTTCATTCCAGTCGCCGAAGACGTGTCTTCGACAAGCACTTATTGCGCGCCAACCGATGGAATATGCACGCGCGTTGGCACTCACTAGTAATACCAAGCAGCTGTCTCCCCAGCAGCAACACCAGCTGGCGGAGCGGGAGCAGGAGCAGGGTCGGTAGCAGGAGCACGGGGAGCAAGACCAGGACCAGAGGCAAGAGCACGAGCGGAAGCAGGAACCAGAGTCTTTGGGTTCTCGGAGTCTCGCGCGTGCGGTCTCTCCCAGCAGTCTCCTCGAGGTGTGCGCTGCGCCCGCGCCGTTTCTGCCCCCGCCGCCCTCGACGGCGCGACGCCACGCAGGTTCCGCACTTTTACTCATGTCTTGCTTGCGTTAGGACCAGAGTTCAAAGGTATAATGGCTCCGAGGTGACAAACACACACTGACCATGACCAAGATGCCGCGGAACCTTGTCGACGCCGATCGTCGTCGATTCGCGAGAATGATCTACGAATTTACCAAGATGGACGGTGACCAAGATCGACACGGCATTTTCGCGCTCAGTCTTGGCCATGATCCCCGTGATATTCCCTTGCATGGTTGTCGATTGTTGTTTGAGGTCCCGAAGGGTGACATCGTCGCAATGATATGAGAGACGGAAATAGCAGAAGGGAGATGGCGACGGCTTGAACGTTCTCCGAAAGTTGTATATGGGAGCCGTTTCAGAGGCATAGTGCACAGAAGTTTGCAGACGGAGGGGTGGACATTTGGTGGAGAGGAGGGAAGGAAAGGGAGGGATCCTAAGAGGGCAGGGACACAGAAGAACGGGGGCGTACAGAGAGGAAGGCGGGTAGCAGAAGGAAGAAGGGATGGGTGCGAAGTCGGTGGGGAGTGGCCAAGGGCATGGTGCAGATTTCCAATTGGGTGTTGGCAGCAAGTCGGTCGTCTTCATGACTGCCCCTTCCATGTTGTTACCCATGTCTCCAACGTAATATATGTTTCTCAAGTCGTGGTCCCCAGACCTCCCGACCCCTTCTCTGGGACTGGTTTTCCGCTCTGGGTGGTCGAAAATTGCCCCCAGAGGCCGAAATTGGGTACACACATCGGAAATTTGACAACAAGAGATCTCGGAGGTCTGGTCTCCAGGAAGTCTCCAGTGATCCCCTCGGGTCCCCAGAAGTTCTCAGAGGCTCCCAAAAGGGCAAATATTGTAAAACAATGTAATCCCTTTCCTTTAGCAACTCCTGGTCGAACTTCCTCCTCATCATCGATCCTCCTCCTCCTCCTCCTCCTCCTCTTTCCTCTCGATCCTTCCTTCCTGTAGTTGGGCGTGGTCCCTCCTTCGACGATGACTACAACCACGACGACAGATGTTGCTGCCCGCCTACTCTCAGAAGGACCCCCCACCCAGGCTTGCGGTGTCTTGATTGTCCCAATACGGCGTCCCTGGAAGTGCCGATTCTTGCCGCAGGGCAGGTTCTTCCTCCCGGGTCGTTGTCTGACGGGCCTGGGGCCCAGCGAGAGCCCCCCCAGACCGAAAACGGCGAAAACATGTCGTCATTTTTCATGACGCGAGCATGCTTGGACTCTTGGACTCCCGCCTCCCCTCGAGAATTGTCCTGGCTCTTGCTCGTCGTCGTCGTCGTCGTCGTCGCCGCCCTCCCTCCTTCGCGAGGTGCCACGCTCATGACTTACACAGGGATCCAATGTGCCTCCCAGGCTCCAGCCCGACTGACGTGCTCTCATAGGGCTGTCCTCCCGGACGCACTTGAGTCGGCGCCCCGCCCCGCCTCGCCTCGAGGCGCCGGCGCCCGTCGGCGCCCGCCGCCCCCCGCCGCCCCGCGCCGCCCAGCTGCGGCGGCCTGCCGGCCGCCTTCCTGTAGCGCGCCTCTCGGGCCGCGGGCGCGCCCCGAGGCCGCGCCGCGCGCGCCGAGGCCGCGCCGAGGCCGCGCAGGGAAAGCCCGTCGCGGCGCGGGTGGCGTCGGGCGGCGGCGGCGGCGACGCGAGACGGGGCGGGGCGGGCACAGGGACCCTGCACCTCTGGTGCGGGTGGCGTCTCGGCGGGGGTTGTCCTAACCTTGGCCTTCCTGGAGGGCTAGAAAGTAGCACCAGGACCTTGGCGTCTCAGTTCCTGTCGAGGTTTGAGGCAATCCCGATAACCGACTAGTTGGTTATGTCTATGGGTCTGCGTCCGCACTGTAGACTCTAGTCTTCGCCTTGGAAAGCGGCGCCACAGGGCCGCCCTTGGAGTCGAAGAGGGCCTCTCTTCCACGTTGGAGGCGGATCTGCTTCCCTGGGGGTGGATGAGGCGGTGTGCGGGCCGAGGCCCGAGGCACGGCGAGTGGGCCGAGGGTGCCAGGCATTCGAGAGCGTTTCATCGCGAGGGTTGTTGGGATTGGGGCCCGAGCAGGGCTGGGGTTGCACCTCGACCGCGTGCTGGGCAGCACAGCCGTTCTGCGGCGCTGCGGCGGGGGCGCGCCCATATTCAAGTCCGTCTGTCTACGCCTTCCCGTTGGGGTCCGAGCAGATGAGCTCAGAGGATCGCGCTGCATCGCCGATGCATCGGCGATGCGGCTCGATGTAGGGCCCGATTTACTCCGCGTCAATAGCGCCGATGCATCGTCGACGTTGCCGATGCATCGCCGATGCGGCGAGATCTTCCGATCCCGCATATTGGGGGGCCGATGTATGGCCACCTCCACTACCCGCGTACCTAGTG